TGGGACCCTCTGCACCCCAAGCCCAGGGTCTGTACCACGCAGGACTATTCCCACTCACCCTGCCCTTGGCCCTGAAGCTGCAGATTCAGGGGTGGGTCTTCTCTTCCCTCTGGAGAGGCAGGGCTGGGGGCAGGGGAGAAGGGGAGGGGGCTCAGAGAAGCACGGAGGGCAGGGAGAGAAGGGCATTTAGGCTGCTGGGTTGGACTCAACCTGGTGTCCTTAGAGAGATGGGGACCAAGTCTGGAATTCCTTGCTGGTGCTTTTCGGCTCCTGGACTGTGTTTCTTAGAGACACGGTGCCAAGCCTGGGCCTCATAGGTCTTGAAGGTTTTATTTTAGGGAGGGAGCCTGTTACAGAGGTATTTATGAATAGAATCACAGCTGGTGCCTGCCTCACTCTGACCCACCCCTTGGCCTTCAGCCCTGCCCCGGGCCCCCCCAACACTGCAGCCACCTGTCATCCCAGAATAACCCAAGTTCAGGTCTGGCCTCCATGTTGCCCCCGCCACCCCTGAATTAGGCGCTGAGCTTCTTCACCTTTGTGGAAGAGAACCTGTTTGCATCTACCTAAGCTGTCCCATGGATAGAGTTGACAGATTCAGTCCAAGGTGGGGAAGGGGCTCCTTGTGCCCCAGCTGGCCTGCTCCACTCCCAAAGCCTCCCCGCCCCCCAGATCTTGCCCCCAGTCCTTCCCAGCTCTCCTCAGCCCCGCCCCGTACCTTCCCGAGCACCAGCAGGGCCCAGGATGTATGTATCCTGTACAGCAGCCGGAGGTTTGAGAGTTAAAAAAAAAAAGCCAAAAAGCTCAAACCCCAATTTGGTCCTTCTGCAGACACTGGCCACAGCAGTTCCTAAGCTGCTGGCTCTGCAGGGGCGGCCCCCCACCCCGCACTGCCTGACCCCCTCCCTCCCCAACTCCCTCTGGCCCCTCTGGACCTCCCTCTGGGGAGACTCTCTGCCTCTCCACTAGTGGGTCCCTGGGAGAGTCCCTGATCTCCCTTCTCTGCCGCTGAACTTGACCTCTCTTTCCGGCACAGGCTTGTGTATGATTAGCCTGTGGTTTCCAGGCCAGGTGTGGCTGAAGGGGTGTGGGGTGGAGGCGCAGGGTGGGGGAGTTCTGAGTGAGTTCCTCCCACCCTAGCTCTGCAGGGATCCCTCAGCATGAACCCCGGGCTGTCCCTGTGATGTGTGCCCTTTAGGACCCCCCCAGGCTCTCCCCGACTCAGTGTGTGTCCCTCTCCAGGGAAGCCCTTTGGGGCCTCCCCAGGTGGCACCCCCATTTCCTTCAATCCACCGATTCCTTATTCCTTTGGCCATATTTTTTAAATTAACTGGAAAATCTAGTTCTAATATGATGGGCGGAGCGCTGGCGAATGGTCTCCTGACCGTGTGCACAGCTGCGCCCTTTGCCAAGTCAGGGGCATCTGGCTGTTGGGGGAGCGCCCGCCAGAGCCCTTCTATGGCTGGTCCTTCCAGACGTGTCCCCAGCCCACGCCGGCCCAGCTAGCAGCAGCCAACACCACATCGAGTCCACGGAGGCAAGGAACATGCATGGCACCTGCCCATGGCTGTCACCAGGATGCCCTTTGTCTTTTTCCCATCTTAAATCGCGTCTGTTGTTGACTTACTGAGCGCAGACGACTGCGTGAGGTCCAGATTCAAAGCCGGCGCAAGCGGGATAGCAAGGGGCCCCCTCCCTGCTTTAGCTTCGTGGGAGCCCTTCACACCCCTCCCTGCTGAGAGCTAGAGCCATTTCTTTGGGCATTCCAGGTTGGGGATGGCCCCAGCGCTTGGCGCCCTGCCCCTGCCCCCACGTTTGCTCTCCCAGCACAGGACCTGCCGTGGAGGGCGCCAAGGGATGTTTGCTGAGTGAGTGCATCAGCCTGTAGCTCCGTTTCCACTGGGTGGGGGGCTGCAGTCCGAGTGGGTCCAGAAGGCCATCCTCCAGCCAGGAGACCTCCGCTCACTGGCTCCCAGTGGTCTGGACCCACCTCCCCGCCGATGGGGCCTGTGTGTGTAGCTTCTGCAGGAGAGCGTTTCTGGGCTCCAGTACCCAGCAGGGCTGTGGCTGATTCAGTGCTGGCCGGGGGACCCTGCTGACCCGAGCTAACAGAGCCTGGACTCTTCTCCCCGCCTCCCGCCTTGTGCTGGCAAAGAGGTGGCCAAGTCCTTCTCCCAAAGCTGCTGACTCAGGCCTGAATCATCACCTGCTTCCCTGGAGTGGCTGCTGGTTTGGGGGGGTGGCGAGTAGAGGGATGGGCAGGCTGGGCATGTGTGGGAGGTGGGGGGTGCAGAGGCCGGGTGGGGGGACAGGTGCAGTCTGACCGCCACCTGTGTGGCCCTGTGCAGACGGGGAGTGCAAGCCCATGAGCCGCAGGGTCCAGAAGTGGGCCTGACCTGCCTGGGGGCTGGTTATGCCCTGAGGACGGTGGGCTGTGTGGCCCAGTGGTCCAGCCTGGGAGCACTGAAGCTACCAGATCCTGGTTCTGTGCTCATATGCTGCTAGGTCCTGGGCGGGCACCCTTGCTGCTTGGAGCTGGGGGCCCCATTAGAACACCAGTGGAGGTGCGGGTCCCACCCAGGGCTGCTGGAGGGTCGAACGGCGTGAGGGGTGTGACACCCTCTGAGCAGTGGCCTTCACTGTCTGTGAAAAGGAGAGGCGTGCTGTGGAGGCTGGGGTGGGAGTGAGCAGCCCTCCCGCGGCCCGGTGTGGACCAGCCGGCCACTGTAGCCTGGGAGCTGAGGGGTGCGGGCTGGGGGAGTCAGGGAAGGCTCTTCTGGACAAGCCAGGGAATAGGGCAGGGAGGGCGGGGGAAGGGGCAGAAAGGGCTTGAGCAGGGATGGGGAGGGGGACCAGCCTTATGGGGAAAGATCCCCTGGGTGTGGGGAGGGAGGCAGGGAGGCAGGGCCAACCTGGCGGGAGCTGGTAGGGTTAGAGCTGAGTGTGAGTCTGCACGTGGCCTGAGTGTGTGTCGGAGGTCAGCTTCCGGCTTCTGCCGCAGGGAGAATGGGCCGCCACCTGACTGACTGTCCAGAAAGACCACGGGAGACAGGGATGCCCAGCAGTGAAGCCAGCCAGGCCCCCCGGCATTTGCTGTGGATGAGGTCAGCTTAGGTTTATGGGGCACGTGGCAGTTTACAAAGGTTGGGGACACTTGGGAGCCCTTCTTGACCACCGTGCTGACTTCCTCTGAGGCCTCAGTTCTGCTTAACCATGACCTCAAGACACCCCATGTCAGGTCTTTCCAGGGGCAGCTGGCTCCCCCACAGCCCTTGGCAGGGCCTGCCAGGCCTGGGACCCAGGTGCTTGGTTGTGCCTCTGGCCCTGCCTGGGTGGCTCAGCCAGGGCCCGGCCTTGGGGTTTGCCTCGGCGTGAGGATGTGGGTCAGTGCCCACAGCTCCAGTATGTGCAGTGGGACGCTCAGAGGGCAGAGTGTGGGGAGGAGCCCCAGGCCCTGCCCTGGAAGGGCGCTCAGAGGGCGCAGGTGCATACAGAGGGGGCTCAGCGTGCGACCCAGGGTGCCTGCCGGGGCTCAGCCCAGTCCACTGTCACACGGCTCTGTCCAGGTGGTGTCACCACCTGTCAGCAGATGGGCACCCAGGGTCCAAGGGGCTAAGAGCTCGCTCAAGGCCACATGGAGGACAGATGCCAGGGCCTGACTCGAAGCTCACATCTGGGTGTCCCTGCTGGAACAGGGCTCTACCCTGCAGTCGGCATTTCCCATCCTGGAGAAAACCAGCTGTTCAGCACCCGGGCCCCCTCCCGTCCACAGCCCCCCACCCTCCTCCCATTGACCTGGTCAGGAGCTGAGGGGGCTTTTGTTACTCCCGACTTAGGGAACCTGAAGCTCAAAGTGCGGGGGCAGCATACAGGGAGGAACACGAGGAGGGTGCTGGAGTCTGCTCAGCTGTCAGGGGACCCTCTGTGGGAGCCCTAGCGCCCCAGGGACCTCCGCAGACTTCCCTGGCTGGAAGGTGGAGGCCCCCCGTCTGAGTCCCGGCCACCCGCCCAGGCCCTACCTGAGTGGATGTTCCCGCGGAGGGCAGTGCCTACTGTGGTCTGGGGTCTAGGGCCCTGGGCAAAGGGACCGAACCTCCCCGAGCTCAGTTTCTGCAGCAGTCACTGGGAGTGGGGGGAGGCGCAGGACGATAGGGGGTGGGGGTGGGGTGACTGCTGCTCTTTCCCACGGGGCAGGGAAGAGGGACTCTAACTCGGCCTTCTGATTTCCATACCCCGAGCTAGACAGTGTGCATGCATGTGTGACCTTGTCCTGGAGGGAGGTTCTGTGGCATGGCAGGAGGGGAGAGGAAAAGGAGCTGGTAGGGGTCCCGCCAAACGGTCCTGGGGGGCTTCCAGGGGGGAGAGCTGTCCCTGAGCTCTGAGTGAGAACCCGGTTCTGAGTTGAGGGGTCGGGTTTATGTCCCCAGGGGCAATCCCTGGGTGGGTCTGCCGTGCTGGGCTCTGGCTCACATTTTCCTCGGAGGAGTCTGGTCTGTCTGGTTCCTGCCGCATTCCACAGTAATCTCTGGACCTCCTGCTTCTGGAAACTGCTCTCGTTCTTCTCCCTCGGGGCTCCCTCCTAGCCCTCCCCTCCCCCTCCACTCGTGCCTCTCCCAGTGTCCCTGAGAACCAGGGCTCCGCTGGGCCACCCAGCCCCTGCCTCTCCCCTGCCCTCCTCCCCACATCTCTCCCCACCCTGGGACACTGGGGGAGCCCAGAACACTCGGTCCTCCTGCTGTCCTGGGGTGCTGACGTCAGCGGGTGGGCGGGAAGTGAGAGGCTTCGAGGTGCCTACTCGGATGGGGATGGGTGTGCAGCTGGGGCCGCCTGGGGTCAGCCCAGGCTGTGGGACCCGCAGCCCTTCCCCACCCAGGCCTGGGGAGGGGGGTGTCAGGGCAGAGATTCTGCAGCCCCTCCGCCCAGCATTGTCCCGGGAGGGGTGGTGGGGTGGGGTGGGGTGCTCCCGGACGGGGGAGGGCAGGCTGCAGGCTGCTGTGTGGGGCTGAGGAAGCAGCTGCGGTCTGAGTCATCCTCCGGAAAACGAAGGAGGCCGTTTCCATCACCATCTGTCTCCTTGGGAAGAGAAGGAGGAGGAGCGGGTAGAGGGCTGGGGGGGGAGGAGGGGGCGCGCCTCACCTCGGGCCTTTCCTGGGCCTGGCTGGGGTAGGCGTGGGGTTTTTTTTCCCAAAGCAGCTTTCACTTCGGCCCCCGCAGGGCCCTCCGATCAGTCGGGAGGGGTGTCCCATGCTCTTCATAGACAAGCAGGCCACGCGGCGGGGGGGGCTCCTGCCAAGGGACTTCTCGGGGATTCCCCCGGGGACTCCCCTACCCCAGTTCAGGGACCCCAGAGTCTGCAGGACTGTCCTGAGCTTAGCACAGCACAGGGGGATGGAGTACCAACCCCCTCCCCCAAGTATTGTAGTGGTGCAGATGTCCCCTGTCCCCTGGGGCCCTGGGAACCTTGGCCACTAGGGGCAGCTGTGGGAGGGGCTGGGCTGAGTGTAGTCGATGCCACGCCACCAGGAAGAATCCTGCAGGGGCTCAGACAGGGCTCCACCCCCTCCCCCGCCCCCTCCCCCCACCCCCCTCCCCGGCTTCTTAGGTGTGCTATTTGTCTCTCTGGGTTTCTGGTTTCTTGTCTAAGATGGGGCTGGCGGGGCAAGGGGTGTTCGGGGTGATCGTGCACTGCCCCTGCCATGTCAGAGCCAGCAGGAAGCCACCAGACGGTGGGGCATGGCACCCCGGCCCCTGAGGCTGGTGGAGGTGCCCACAGGGCTAAGCCTAGTCCTGGTGAGGGCCAGCCCTCCGACCCTGTGCGGCCTGGTTCGGAGATGTGGAAGTCAGCAGGAGCCTTTTGGCTGCAAGAAACCCAACCTGAAGGAGGCAAGGAGAGAAAGAGGGATCGTCCCACCGAAGTCCCACGGGGATGGGAGGGGGCCTCTTCCTAGCTCCTATCTCAGCGGGGCGCCCTGTCCCTGGTCCGCTTTGTGTCCCCCGCCCGCTGGCCCTGTCTGCCTACACCCCACTGCTCCTTGCCCAGGGCCCTTGTAGGTAGGTCCATGTGGTGATGATGCGCCCCCACCCCGGGGAGATGCCCTCTACCCTCAGGCGTTCTCTGTGACTGGGGCCGGGGGTGTGGGCTGCTTTCCACAAGACCTTGGTTCCACAAGAGGGCAGTTCTCCAAAAGAGGAGGGCTGGTTAGCAAGATCTCTACAGGTGCTGTGGGCCCAACCAACCGGTAGGAGTCCCTTCCCTACAGATGGAGGCAGGCCTCTCTCGAAAGATGTGGCTCCCGGGGCTCAGGACCTCCAGGTGGGAGAGGTGTATTGACTGGACACCAGCACTGAGAAAGCCTCTGAACGGCAGCCGGGAGAAGCTGGTAAGCTTGGCCTTGGCCACGGGGGTGGCCAGCTGTCTGGGAGCAGCTCCTTGGTGCCGGGAATTGAGAGGTCACCTTTTATGTGAAATCAGGTAGGGGCTGGGAAGGCTTTGAAGCCTGCAGGCAGGTTCCCTCCTTCCCATGTCAAGGATACCTGGCCCATGCCCCAGCACACTGGGCTTCCTCCTGCCTGGGGCACAGCAGAGCATTTCCATCTGATAGATACAGAAGCTGAGCAGATTAATCCCAGACATGGTAAGATGTGTTCGAGCTGGGGTTCTTCCTATCTGCAAGCACTTCCTTTGCTTCACCCTGACTCTGTCATGGGATACTTAAGGCTGTTTGCTGTCAAAACCATTATAGTATCCAGTATCCATCCATCCACATACCCACCCACCTACCATCCATCCATCTATCCATCCACTCATCCATCCATCTATTCATCCATCCACCCATCCATCCACCTATCCACCCACCATCCATCCATCCACCCACCCACCCACCCATCATCCATCCATCCATCCATCTACCCACCCACCCACCATCCATCCATCCATCCATCCACCCACCTATCCACCCACCATCCATCCATCCATCCACCCATCCATCCATTCATCCATCTATCCATCCATCCACCCATCCACCTACCCACCCACCAACCATCCATCCATCCCTCCATCCATCCACCTACCCACCCACCCACCATCCATCCATCCATCCACCCATCCATCCACTCATCCATCTATCCATCCATCCACTCATCCATCCATCCACCTACCCACCCATCCATCCATCCACCTACCCACCCACCCACCATCCATCCATCCATCTATCCACCCACCATCCATCCATCTACCCATCTATCCACCTACCCACTCACCCACCATCCATCCATCCACCCATCCAGCCAGCCACTCATCCATCTATTCATCCACCTACCCACTCACCATCCACCCTTCCATGCACCCAGCTGCACATCCAACCACCCACCCACCTACCATTCACCCATCTACCCATCTATCCATCCATCCGATATTTATTGAAAGCCTGCCTTGTGCTGGGTGCAGGTTGGTACTTGTTAAACCAGTTAGGCAAAGTCACAGCAACGCCCTTGAGTAGGGTTGTCAGATTTAGTAAATAAAAATACAGGACATCCAGTTAAATTTGAATTTCAGATAAACAATGAATACTGTTTTGGTATAAGTATATAAGTATGTCCTATGCAATATTTGGTATAAGTAGGTCCCAGATATTGCATGGGACATACTTAGGCTGAAACTTACTTGTTGTTTGTCTGAAATTCAGATTTAACTGGGCATTCTGTGTTATCTGTAACCCTGTCCTGTTCAGCCGGTGAAACAATAGGGTGATAGACACGTCCACATTCCTCCTGAAAGATCTAACTTAATCCTTATCAAAATCTATGAACTGGGTGACATGACCCCCAGTTTATTCACCTGAGTCACTACTGATGGAAGGCCTTCTGGCTTTTGGCCTTTGTATTGCTCTGAGCGTTCTGGTCGGTGTCGTTTGTGCTGGGTAAATCTCAGATGTGTGCCTGCGTACGTTCAGCTCTCACAGATGCCACCAAACGCGTTTCCAAAGCAGTGGTGCTGTTGTGCTTCTGTCACCCGCAAAGTCTACATCCTTGCCAATAACTGGAAGATTTCGTGTTTTCCACGTTGACCCTTCTGTGGGTTTGTGGTATGATGTTGGGATTTTAATCTGCATTTCCAGGCCGGTTAGTGAAATGGGCACCTTTTATATGTTTACTGATCTCCGGACACTCCTCCTTTGTGACGTTTAAGTCTGTTTGCCCATTTTCCCATAGAGTTGTCTACCTTTTTCTTGTTAATTTGCAGGCGTTCTTGACATATTTTCACATTCTGGACATAAGTCTTTGAGGCTTTGCTGCACGTTTGTAGAGCAAACGCCCCACCACCCGCCCTCCGCTCTGGCTGTGATGTCCGAGTTTTACTTGTGTTTCAGACTCCACGAGCACTGTTGCGCACTGTGTATCTTCGCTTGAATTTGTCCACAAATGTCATCACGTCTTCACGTTTTCCTACAGTCTCAGGCCTACACCTGGAATCATTTTCCTTTAGCCTCTCCTCCAGTATTCCTCTTAGCGCAGGGCCAGGGAAGACGGGTTCTCTGTGTTTGTTCCACTTTCTCCTCGGGACGGTGTTTTTGGCTGACCTTTCCCCCGCTGTCTGCACTCTGAGGAGCCATTCCTTTGTCTTCTGGCTTCTCCTGGGTGTCGGTCACATGTCCTCCCGCTTTGTGTGTCTAGTGATTTGGGGTTGTGTCCTGCACATCATGACCGATATGTTGTAGGGGTTTGGGGCTCTGTGTGTTCTCTTTCAGAGCATTCTTTTTGTTTGTTTGCTTTATTGAGGGGTTAACTGAACTGGACTCAAACTGTAAACACTGTCCCCTCTGTGTAAAATCTCTGTGCTGTTAACTGAGCTGCTTGGAATCTGTCCTGTGCAAGCGGAGCTCACAGACCAGCCAGGAGTTTGAGCAGAATTCCTCAGGGAGCATTTGGGGCTCCCTTTCTGGGGTCATCCCTCACTTTCCAGCTGCTGTGGTCACCCCCAACTACATCCTCTGATTCTTCAAGCCAGCAAGCCTGTGGGTTCCATCAGGGTTTTGGCCTGCTCTCAGACATAGAGGCACAAGCCTGGGACACTTACCCAGCGAGTCCTGTGTCCTGAGTGTCTATGTCCTACAGCCTCTGTCTGGGTATGGCTGTTCTCTGGGCTGTTGGACAGTTGTCTTTATGTCCAGTGATTGTGGATGTTTCTACGCCAGACCTGGTCCAACTGGAGCCACTTGGCCATTGCTGGGAGCAACCCTCGGGCAGTTAGGATGGAGGAGGGCTGGGTCCCACAGCCCAGTCAGGATGGACCAGAGCGGGATGGAGAGTCATTTGGTGAGACTCGGTCTTGCTCTGGCTAGACTCGGTTCAGGGGCTGGTCTCATCAGAGATTTAACCAGGAGCCTGGTGGGGCCCAGCCTCCTGCTGGATACTGCACCAAGATTTCACAAGTGTTTTGGGGTGGGTGGGACCAGCGGTGTGTCCGAGGACCCCGAAGCCTTCAGTTTTGTCACCTTTGCCCCTGTGGCTGTGGGAAGCTCCTCTGGGTTCTCCTTCTGTCATTGTGGCTCCTTGCCTGGGCCCAGCCCAGGCCTTGGTCCAGCGCCCGGAACTGAGAAACGCTCCTGGTAGCAGGATGGCCACCATCGTTGGCTGTGTGGGCTCTCCCCTAGTGGGCTAGGTCTCCACAGCCCCACAGCTCTCTGAGACTTAGCTGCGAGGCTCTAGTGTGTGTGCGGCCCCTCTCGGTCGCCAGCAGGAGCGACGCCTTCCACGGGGGACCCGCCCCTTCCCGCCCTCCAGGCCCAGCACCACCAGCCCCACCCCGGGGAATAAAGATCCAATGAAAGGCAGGAGCAGAAAGTCTGTTGAAATCACTGCTTTCCACATGGCATTTAAAAAAACACAAAAACTCAAACTTTTAAAACATGAGTGCCTTTTGCCCCAGTGATACCAATCCTGGGACTTACCTCAAGATGATGATTCAGAATGTGCACAAAGATCAAGCTCCAGTTTGTGGATGGCAGTTTACAACGTTGAAAGGAAAACCCTAGAAACAGTGAATTCCCAGCGGTAGGGAATTTGTTGAAAAAACACGTGGTTTATGCATACGGTATTCAGTCACACAGTCATGAAGAATATTGTGTTAGAATTGGTGGAAACAGGATCACGTTCTGTGGTTGACAGAAGTTAGCAAAATCCACAGTGGTGGTGGTGATGGTGTGTTTGCATACACATCACGCTCTGGGTATTCACTATGTTCTCGTTGTCACTATTTCCTGACTTTCCAAGACAATGACTGTTTTGTTGGGCTGTGTTTTTGAGGTACGACTTACATGAAGTCCATACGCCTAAAGCGAGCAGCCTGATGAGGTTTGACAGACAGACCCGTGCGACCCACACCCGGAACAAGATGGGGAGAATTTCCGCCTCTCACGAAGCTCCTCCGTGCCTCTTTCTGGCCTCCAGTGTCCTGTGGATAACAGATTAATCAGAGGAACGTGTTTCCAGGCTAGAGGATGGACGCGAGGTTCTGAGAGGCATGCCCAGATCACTCAGTCTCGGGGCCGGGGCGCCAGGTGGGCGGCAAATCCTCGCCCTGCTCCAGGTGCAGAGGCCATGGGGGGAGCCAAGGAGGTCACCTCGGGGTCACCTGGCCAAAGGCACAGAAGGCCTTTGTACTGGGATGTCACCTGCCCTGTGATGGGTTGGGAGGGAGAAGGGACTGCACTCCAGGGTGGGGACACACGGTGTCAGCCATTCTCGGGGGCCCGGCTGGGGCCTTAGCGGCCATGGGGTGACTCGCCTAACCAGCGTCATGGGCGGGGCAGGTGAGGGTGGGGCTAAGTGCTGCAGGGCCCCAGAGAGGAGCTCAGTGTGGGGCTGAGGGCTGCTCCTGGGGCCCTGGGCCTGCTGCTGGCCTCGGTCAGCTCGCTACTCTAACATAGCACCACAGGCCGGGGGCTTAGACAGCAGATGTTTATTTCTGGAGGCTGAGGTTCAAGATCGAGGTGCCGCAGTCAGGTTCTGGGGAGGTGGAGGCCCTCCTTGGCTTGCGGAGGCCGCCTCCTTTCTGTGTCCTCCCATAGTGATCGAGCTCTGGACCTTCTCTTCTCATAAGGGCACCAGCCCCGAGGATCAGGACCTCATGACCTCACTTAACCTTTATCACTGCCTGTCCTGTCCCCAAATCCAGCCACAATGGAATTGGGACTTCAACAGGTGAGTTTGGGGGGACATGATGCAGCCCCCCAACAGACAGCCACCACACCAGGGCCTGCAGACAGGATCGTGGTGCTCTGGGTCCAGGAGGGGCAGCTTCCTGCGGGGATCCCCACCCTCCCTGCCACCTCCCCGGCAGGTGGCCCCAGGTCCACCCCTCCCTGGGTGCTGGCTCAGTCTCCGGGAATTCCCTGGCTTCTTTCTTCCAGGGCTGTGCTGGCAGGGCCTCCGTGGGGCCTCCGTGGGGAGGGGCCTAGTCCTGGGCCTGGGGCCGTGGGGACAGCGCGTTCCCCTTGGAAGTGGGACACGTGGGTCCAGCGGGATGACTACTTCTCTGGTCAAAGAGAAATTCAAACACTTTCTGATAAGTGCCGTGGGCTCTTGTTTATTGATTGAAGCTGGTGAATAACTTAAGCTGGGAGAGTCTCCCTCCCTGCCCTGGATTCTTTTTCCTTCCCAGCTTGAAAATGCGATGAGAGGGGCGCATGGGTGGCTCAGTCGGTGAAGCGTCTGCCTTCGGCTCAGGTCATGATCCCAGAGTCCTGGGAATGAGCCCCGCATCGGGGTCCCTGCTCCGCGGAGAGTCTGCTTCGCCCTCTGCCCCTCCCCCACTCTCGTGCTCGTGCTCTCTCTCTCTCTCTCAAAAATAAAAATCTTAAAAAAAAAAAGAAAACGCCACGTGAGAAGATGGTGAAGGTTGTGTGTGTGCATGAGCGTACTGGTGGGGGGGTGGTCCCAGCCTCCCCAGCCCGCGCTCCCCAGGCCCTGTCCAGAGATGACAGAATGACCTCATCCACGTATGGGCAGGTGTCCCAGGGGCCCCCTCTAACCAGCCACAGGTGCCCACTCTGCAGGGGCTAAGACCTCATCATGCAGTGACATTTCAGATGGCAGGAGAGCGGAGCAGAGCTTTCGGGGGCCGTCTTCCTCACCAGGGCACCTCCACGGCCTGTCTTCTGTGTCCTGTCCCGATTCATGGCGAATACGGGCTCTTTCCCACTCAACCTGGGAAAGCCACCACAGCAGATAAGGATGGATTTAGGGAACCAGAAAAACCAAACAAGACCCCAGTGGGAAACCCCGGGGACTGAGGTTCTTGAATGGGGTGAGTTGTGGGAGGAGAGGGGCTGCAGGGAGATGGGGAGGGGACAGTAGGAGGTGGGGGGCTGGCCCCCAGGGTGAGGCTGCAGGGGTGGATGCACCTGCAGGTATGAGGGCTTGTTGAGAACAGGGGGACAGCCGCTCTGGCACCCACCTCCACCCTCTGCCTCCACGCCCAGGGGATTAGTAGTTCGGGAGCCCTTGGTGGGTGGGTGGGTGGGGGTTTAAAGTGAAGCTCTGACCAGGGGGCTCGCTAAGAGCACTTACAGGGGGAGCATGCTTCTGACACCAGGTCCCATGCATCCGCTGGGCACCCGACAACTCCCCTCAGTTCTGACACTTCCACCTGGAGCCGGCCTCCGACGGATAAGGGAGCTGAAGGCAAGTGGAGGACAAAGCACAAGCGGACCCCCCACCCCCGGACCCCTCCCTCCGCGGACAGGTGGGATAGTGTGACGTGCCCCAGGCACTCCCGGCTGCAAATGGTTCCCGGATAGAGATCACAGTCCAGCAGGACAGGAATCTCCCACAGTTTACCAGTGTCTTAGTGGTTTACAAGGAAAAAATGTTCCTAACCGCCCCCTCCCCTCCAGGAAGCTCCCAACTGTCTCAGTGTTGATGTTTTACTAGAGGGAAAAACGACCTTAGCTTGACCATGGCCAGGCCGCCGGTATCCCGAGAGTCCTCTTTAACAGATCAAAGTCCTTTTGGACACCTCCCTGTGTCCTTACCACCCCAAACCCCAAGTATATCATCAGCCACCCCTCGCAGCCCCAGCGCGGCGGGCCTTTCTGCCCACGGATCCTGTCCCCGTGCTTGAATAAAATCACCTTTTTGCACCAAAGATGTCTCAAGAATTCTTTCTTGGCCGTGTGCTCCCAACCTCATCCGCATTCCCAAACTACCTCAGGACCCTGCGGGTAAACGCTCTGTCCCACCCACGGCCCCTCCCCCCACTTGAGATGCCGGTGGCGGGCGGTCACTGTGCTTCTGACCCACTGATCAGAGATTTCAGCGACCCCCTCTGCGAGTCCAATTAACTTGTTCACAGAACTCAGGGAAACACTTCACTTACTAGATCACCGGTTTATTATAACTCTGGGACAGAGGACCGCAGAGGTGCGTAGGGCGAGGGGAGGGAAGGGGCAGAGCTTCGTCATGCCCCCTGAGCACGGCACTCTCCCCAACCTCCGAGAGTTCAGCAACCGGAAGCTCTCTGATCCCAACCCCATCCTGTTTGGCTTTTTATAGAAGCTTCCTTATACAGCCACTATTGATTAAATCATTGGCCGTTGGTGATTGATTGAACCCCCAGCCCATCTCCCCTCCCCAGAGGTCAGGGGGTGGGACTGAATGTTCCAGCCCTCTGATCACGTGGCGTGGCCCCTGGCAACCAGTCCCATCCTAGGGGCTTTCCAACATCACCTCATTATCATGCCAAAGACACCCTAATGGCCCTCCTCACTTAGAAACTCCCTAGGGTTTGAGGGACTGTGAGCCAGAAACAGGATGTAGAGCAAACGCGTATTTCTTGTTACCGGTCGCTGTATCACAGAGGCGGGGGCGCATCGCCCGTCCTCCTCGGGCTCCGAGGAAATAGGACGAGGCCGGGCAGCTCGCGGGAGCCAGACACACATTCTCTGGCCAGAGTAGCCTGAGGCTCCTGGACCACAGCCCAGAGGACGAAAGACAGCCACTTCCAAGGCAGAGCGTGTGAAGCCCCATCGCGGAACGATGGACCCGGAGTGTAAATAAGCACGAGGACATAGAATCAAATATGGCAAATGGGTGAGATCTATTTAAGTAGATAAAGGAGTACATTATCAATAAGAAGCAAGAAGGGGCGTCTGGGGGGCTGATTCGGTTGAGCGGCTGCCTTCGGCTCGGGTGGTGATCCCAGGGTCCTGGGATCGGGCCCACGTCGAGCTCCCTGCTCGGCAGGGAGTCTGCTTCTTCCTCTGCCCCTCTCCCCGCTTGTGCGCTCTCGAGCTCTCGCTCAAATAAATAAATAAAAATCCTTCAAAAAATTAACAAGCCAGGAAAAATCACAAGAAAAGGAACCTAGGGGAAGCATTAGGCCCTCCTGGAGGTTGGCTCCACTTCACGACGAAGCTTAAAGACAGTAAGAAATGAGACCTATCAGAGTTAGAGATTAACTGGAAATTATTTTGGAAATTAAGATGAAACCAGAGGGGACACAAGGTGGGTAAACACAGAAGTAAATATTTTGAGAGCGATAGAAGCAAGTGTACAAACCCAAGAAGAGGATTCAAGAGAAAATGGCAAATCCAGAACAAGTCAAGAAGATTGGGTGGACGTTTCTCCGAGAGAAGTGACGCGAAGGACCGACTCACACAGATGCACATACTCAATACTTGGGAAGGCAGGTGGAAACTGCCAGGAGATGTATCACTTCAAGCCCTAGGACGGTGACACTGAAAGTGAGCAGCCGTGTTGGCATGGACGTGAGGCTGGATCCATGGGCCCTGCTGGGGACGGGACAGGGCGCAGCCTCTTGGGAAAACAGTCTGGTGGTCCCCCGAACCATGGAACATGAAGCTTCCCAGTGCCCAGCACTTGCACCCTTTGGCACACACCCGAGAGAACTGAAAACTACGTCCACACAAAAGCTTGTACATGCACGTTAATAGCAGCATTATTCACAATAACCCAAAAGGAGAAGCCACCCAGATATGCATCACCCGATAACAAAATATGGAATGCTTGTATGATGGACGATGTTCAACTATGAACAGGAATGAATATGGTCCGGCATGAGTGGGGGCTACAAACACAACGTGCCGTTGGCCAAGCCTCCGACTTTCGATTTCAGCTCACGTCATGCTCTCAGGGTCGGGGATCGAGCCCCGCGTTGGACTCTGTGCTCGGCGGGGAGTCTGCTTGAGACTCTCTCTCCCTCTCCCCCTGCTCCTCCCCCCCACGCGCTCTTTCTCTCTCAATTAAATAAATAAATAAAATCTTAAAAAAGGGTTAAAAACCCCACTATGCCAGGTAGGAGAAGCCTGTCAAACAAGGCCACGTATTGCATTCCATTTATATGAAATGTCCAGAGTAGGGAAATCGGTAGACACAGATGGAAGATGCGAGGTGCCAGGGCTGGGACTGCTAATAGGTGTGAGGTTTCTTTTTGGGGCAATGAAGATGAAGTGTCCCGAGAGTAGATTACGGTTATGGTTTTGTTGCACAACTTTGTAGAGACACTAAAAACCGTCGACTTGCACTTTTGAAACAGGTGAATTTTATAATATGTAAATTATATCTCAATCGAGGTGTTTAAAAAAGAAAGAAAAGGAGCCAACATACATATAATAGGACTTCCTGGGGGAAAACCCCAAAGCATTGGAATAAGGCAGACACTAAAAACTAAAATCCAAGACAACTTACCCAGCACAAAACGATCTGAAACCTATGTATTGAAATGACATATCACATACTCAGGGAAACTGACACAGAAGGGCTCACACTGACAATTGGTTTGTAAGATTCTTAGATCCTGGGACTCTTAGGCCTTAAAAGATCTATGAGAAATCCTAGAAAACGGCCATCCAGGTGGATGGAGCCACGGTGTGTGTGGGTGGAGGGCACTGAGCCCATGGGCCAGGAGACGCCGTGGAGCTCTGGGGAGCTGTAGGGATTCCGTCTCTGGTCCCCGTGAGCACCACTTGGCATCCCACGGTACCACAGAGCACAGCATAGTGCCCCACAGTGGTCTCCCAGAGGAGCAGGCAGGGCAAGGGAGGTGCCCACTTCGAGTTAGGGCACTGACGACAGGCACCTGCACTCCTGGGAGGCAGGGAGAGAGGGGGAGGCTGGTGTCTACTGGAGGGGGAGCTGGGTACCCGTCCTGAGGGATGCTCCAATGGTCAAGGTCACGGGACAACTGGGAGAGGCCCCTGGGGACAAGGAAGCCTCCACTCTGGGCCAGAAGGGGCGTTTAGGGGTTCGGGCAGGCCCCATCCAGGTCCGGGGTCCCTCTGCTGCTTCTCTGCCTGCCCAGCTCTGCTCACATGCCCGGGATGGGGAGCTCCTTCCTGGCCCTGCGGCTCATCAGAAGCTCCCTCTCTTGCCCAAGTGAGCTCTGCCCCATCACCACTCCCAGTCCCCGGCTGGTCCCTGGGCCCCTCCCACCTGGAGCCCCCCCAGCTCCCAGATAGGTCTGATTTCCAGGCCAGGCCCTTCCTAAGGAGTCCCCGCGGTCCTGCTGGAGACACTGCTTTGTCAGTCCCCCCACCCGGCCAGGAAGGAAGGGACTCTGGGCCCGTTTTGCACAGTCTCAGGGGCCGGAGGGAGTCCTTGGGGTCCTGCGGTCCCCACAGACCACTAAGTGAGGCCTTTGCCCCCATGGGGGAGTCCATGCTGTGTGGGGTCCAGTCTGGTCAGGCGACTGCCAACAGTCTCTGAGTGTCAGGGCAGCCAACAGTGCTGGTGGCCCTGCCGGATGGTGTCCTGGGCTCGTGCAGGGGCGGGCAGGGCAGGGGAAACATCCCCTCCTGAGCACCTACTATGTGCTGGCACATGAGGTCACTTTGAGCGCACAGACCGGTTTTCCAGCCGGGAGCCGTCAATGCCCCTGCTCTGCAGAGGGGAGAGCTGAGGCCCAGGAGGTGAGGCAGCTCCGGGACGAGCTGGGCCCTGAGGGACAAGGCCTGGAGGTGAGGGCCGGGGAGGCCAGACCTGCCACGTGTAGGGAACAGGGGACACCTGCCCTGGCCTGAGCAGCGCATGCCGCCTGATGGCCCCAGGGCTGCACGGGGCGGCTGGGGCTTCAGCCTGGGGCTCTAGGACCCCCACGCTTGCCCTCTTCTTTCTGGGCTTCGAGGCTGAGGCTTCGTCTGTCAGCCTGAGGTGGGAGGGCTGGGGGTGCCCAGGGGGACTCAGGACATGCCAAGCACACCCCCACAGGCAGTGACCACAGGCAGGTCACACGGCTTGCGGCTGGCTGG